GAAAGAAATTAAATGAAATAAAATTTTTTGTTTGTTTGTTTGTTTTTAGGTGATAAAAATGCTCATATTAGTGATAATATTATTTTATTTATGTTGGGGTCCTCGGGTTTGCATGGACATGCTACAAAAATTTAATTTCATACCATTCAATCAATCCGTATATAAAATGAGAATCATATTCAACGTCATGACGTTTTTCCACGGATGCATAAATCCATTTATTTATTCGTTTATGAGTAAAAATTTCAGAGGAAGATTAATTAAATATATTGAAAAATGTGGATGTTTAAAATCTCATTGGTCGAACAAAACATCGAATCAAACGACAATTTCTGGTTCATTGAGATCTCAAAAAAGATCTTATTCTTGTAGGAGCGATTTCGATGGTAAACACGGTCGTCCAACAAAAATTTATGGTTCTTTTTTTTCATGCGAAACTAAAACAACCGATTTAGAAAGCATAACTAATTTACAATCAACCGTACAAACTCTACAAAATTAATTTTTTAATTTTTAATTTTGTTTTATAACAACAACGAAAGAAAAAGCAAACCAAGAATCTCTTTAAGTTTTCTTAAAACTTTTCTATTTATTATTATTATTATTTAATTTTTAAATGTAGTTTTTCTCGTATGAGTTTTCGCTTTTTTTTTTTAATTACAAAAACCTTTTTTTTTTTTTTCTTTATTTTATTTTTTCAGGTCTTCGTTAATTTTCAATTTTTTTTTTTTTTCTTAAATTTATTTATTTAGGAAAAAAAAAGCGACAGTTGGTAACATTGTAAAAAATTTATTTTATTTATCTTTTTTTTCCGTTTTTTGTCCAAAATAAAAATAAATTTTTTTTGTGACTTTCCTTATATATCCCTTCTCCTCACTAAATAAGAAGTAAACGAAAAAAGTTTTCTCTTTCTCTCTCTCTCTCTCTCTCTGTGTCTTTCGCGTCGTAAATATTTCATTCAAAAAAAAAGTCGAGTTTGAAAAGTTTATATATTTATATATATAATGAAAAATTTATAAAGTTTTACCAAAAAAAAAAAAAAAAATTAATAATAATAATATAAATATTAAATAAATTTAAAAAGTAATAAATTTATATAAATTAGGTAAGGATTTAAATAGAAATTAATTGATAAATTTTTATCCGGTACCAATATGGCGACGGAATCACCTTCGTAACTTTCATCAATAAAATTAAGACCATCTCCTTTGTTACATAAATCTGTTGTACAGGATCTGTAATGTGCAACAACCGTTCTCGAATCAACATCCGAATCTTCCATTGGACTCTCTTCGCATTTTCTTAAAAATGACGCCACTTTTCCTAAAATAATTTTTTACATTATTATTTATTTGTTATTATGAAAAAAAAAACATGTCGTCGCACGTAGTACCTGTTTCCTTTGTTTCGATTCTTACAATAATACAAAATTCAACGTGTGTAAGACAGGATCTTATTGGATTTCCGGTTAAATTCCACGGTGCTGTTACGCACAATGAATTTTCTTTTGAATCTCTTTCATCGTAACTACAAGTGTAACAACGAAGACCTAAATAACACATCATTATTATTATTATTATTATTATTAGAATCCGTTAAAAAAAAAAAAAAACAAATAGTTACTCACAGTCTCCAACCTCCCATGTTACGAAAACAAAAACAAAGAAAAAATTTGCAAAATTATGTTTCATGATAAAATTGACAAAAAACATAACAAAACAAAAACAAAACTTATCTGTTTCCTTTATCAGTAAATTTTTTTTTTTCTTATCGATAAAAGTGAGAATTATTTTAAGAAAAAAACAATGATAGAGAGAAAGAGAGAGAGAGAGAGAGATAGAAAATATTTTAGACCTTAAGCCGAGATCATTTTTTAGGAGGAAGTAGGAAGAAAAAAAAAGTAAAGTGGATTAAGATATTTATTACCTGTTGAAACAAAAAAAAAAAAATAGAAAAATAAATTTATCTGTTGCCACGATATATATATATTTTTTATTTTATTATTATTATTATTACACAACAAATTTTTTTTTTTCCCTTCTCTCTCTTTTTCGCATCGAAACAAAAAAATTAATTAATTAATAATAATAATTTTTTTTTTTTGTAAATTTTTATTTATTTATTAATAAAATTTAATTGATTGAATTTTTTTTTATTGTTGTTATTATCGACCTGAGATTAATTTAAATTGTAAAAATTTTATTATTATTTTTATTTTTTTTATTAATAATAAATAAATAAATAAATTTAAAAAAATTATTATTAATAATAAATGTTTTGTAATAAATAATTTCAGTCGATTTATTAATTTTAATGCCAAATAAAATAATAAATAAAAAATAATTTATTATGTATATGTATGTATATATATATAAAATAAATTTTTATTTAAAAAAAAAATTATCGCCATGATTAATAATTATTATTAATCTTTTGCGATGTAAAAAGGTAAATAATAATAATAATAATATGAGGCGAGTTGAGTATAAAATTTAATTTTTCCAGTCTTCTTATCAGTTACAACATGACTTTATCAATCCAGGGTACAAATTTTTGTATGTTTGTATAAACTCCAGGTAAATGTTCTCTACCGCATCCAATACCCCAGGAAACTAAACCTATTAATGTTTTTCTTCCGCCCAAAGTCATCGTTAAGGGTCCTCCGGAATCTCCCTGATCAACCAAAAAAAAAAACTCAATTTTTTATTTATTTAGCGGGGGGGAGGGGGGAAAGAAAATACGGAAAATTTACCTGACAACTGTCTCTACCGCCCTCTTTAAAACCCGCACATAAGAAAACATCGTGTATCGTTTCTCTTCTTCCAGCAGCTCTAAACCATTTTTGACATCTTTCGTTAGGTATAACTTCAACGTTAACTTCTTGTAATATTGTTGGCACTGTTGCGACACCTAATGACACGTTTTTTATAATTAATGATTTTCTCATTAAAAAAAAAAATATGATTAATAAGGTTGGTAGGAAAATTTCAAACCGTGTCTCGTTCTTCCCCATCCGGCAACCGTCGCTATTTTTCCAACTAATTTTGCATTCAATTCCGGTAAGCAAACGGGTAAAATGTGATGTTTAAAAATTACTTTTTTATCTAATTTTATTAATGCCACGTCATTTTTAAAATCAGTCGGACTGTATTGCGGATGAACCTGAAAAATAATTTTTAAAAAATTTATTTTTAAATGATGTGAAAATGATTAGAAAAGTTTTCTTTTTTCCTCACTTCTTTTCTTTCAACTCCGAATTCTTCGTGATGTAACCTTTCGGATTGATCTCGAACATCCCATTCTCCTAATCTTACTCTCAAATGATTATTCGGCGTACTGAAACACAATCGTTATTAATTAATTTATTTAATTAATATTTAAATTAAAAAAAAAACGGAAAAAAATTAAAAACCGACGTGGCCACGCAGTGAGCAGCAGTAACGACCCAACGATTGCTTAAAAGTGCGCCACCGCATGATAATTTTTTAGCTAAAAAAGCTGATTTTATTATGGCTGCTTGCCACGGATGTGTACCAAAAGCAGATGAATGTCCTCCAACAATTCTATTACTTCTGGTATATAATTCACCACAACCTATACAAACAAACAAAATTAATAATTAATTTTTTTTTTCTCAATTTACAATTAATAATAATATTTGCATGCCGATTGAAAAATTATAATTAGAATCAAATGAAGAATAAAATAATTTTTTTTTTTTTTTCATTCCTTAAAAAAAAAAAAAAGAAAAATTCAAACAACCGGAAAATTTATACAAGAAATTTAACCCCTTTCATAACATAATATTTACACAATTTGGATAAAACAACAGAGAGGGGTGGGAAAGAAAAAACAAACATTTTTAAAAGGAAGACGTTTTGCATAGAGTAAATAAACACAAAAGTAAAGTGTGCTGTGAAAAATTAATAAAAAAAAAAAATTTGTGCAGGTGCAATTAAATCTTTTTATGTTTTTATGTTTTTTTTTTTGTGTTTATTGTTGTTTGTTTTATTTTACCACGAAATCCATGCGCGTATCCATATTGTATTGTTTGTTCATCATCTCCGTGATAAATGTTCGATTGATCGACGGAAGACGGTTGAGGATGAAGTATGATTTCCGAATTACCCGTGCTTACAACGTGATGTTCCACCCCCGAATGTGGTTTATTATTATTATTATTATTATTAGTATTTCCATTTTGATTAAAAACGGTGTTCGAAACGTATATTTGAGTTCCTTGTTGCGTCGTTGGAAAATCCGAATAACTTCCATGTTGATTGTATTGATGATTGTAAGTTGATGGTTTTGTACCGAATTCAGATGGTTTGTAATGGTAAAAAGGCCATTTTTGACCCCCACCACCACCACCACTACTACTACTACTACCGTAATATTGATAATTATTAGGTTTATTTAAATTATGATTTCTATCGTAAAACGCGTGTGGATTATTATTATTATTATTATTATTATTATTATCATTTTGTCCGTTATAATTTTGAACGACGTATTTGTTGTTTTCATCTTTAATGAGTATCGATAACCCGAGCGGTTTTTTTTTCGGCGGGGAAAACGAATAATGATGATTACCACTCGAGGGTATTTGTTCCAAGAGTGGAGGAGGATAACTGATGTGGTGTAAACCGTAGGCACTTGCGAAGTTGTTGATTTGGTGACGATTATTCGTGATAAATTGCAGGGCTGCCAATCAAAATAAATTTTCCCTTTTAACCGTTTTTAATAATAATAATAATAATTAAAAATAAATTTAAAAAATAATTTTTTACGTTTTCATGTTTTTGTTTTTTTGTTTTGCAAGTAATAGAATGAGATTTTTATTTGAAGAAACATAAAAAATAACATAAATGAGGAAGATTTAATATATAAAAAAAAATTTAAAAAATTATGACGTCATCACACTTTTTAAAAAAATTAATTATTTGGAGAGTTTTTTCCATTTTTTTAAACCGTATCCATCTTTACCACGATGTTGTCGAGTAATGAAATAAATATTTACCCTCTTTCTCTCTTTCTCTCTCTCTCTCTCGTTTAATAGTTTACTCGAAAGGCTAAGTTAAAAAAAAAAAAATTATTTTAAGCCAGTGAAATTAAAAAAAAAAGTAAATTTTCATCTTTTTCCCGGATGGTTTTTAATTATGTGCGAAAAAAATTTCAAAGAAAACCCCCCGTAAAAAAAACTAAAAAAAAACATGGGGGAAAATTATTATTATTATTATTATCATCATCATATTTATTTATGTATTACTCGAATCATCATTAAAATCAAATTTAATTTATTTTCTTTGCATAGAATCCAAAAGTAAATTTAAAAAAAAAAAATCACGCGTGTTTTCATTTCGAAAAAAAATAAAAATAATAAAACAACAAAAACAAAAACAAACAATTTCGAACTGAAAAACAAAATGTTTGTTTTTTTTTTATGTTCAAACATAAAACCGAAAATAAAAATTTAAAAAAGAAAAAAGGAAAAACCAACGGATACGAATACCACGTTGCTTTATTTATTCAAAAAAATTTTTTTAAGGACGAAATTAAATGAAGTAATTTTTTTTCCGACAATTTGTCGCACAAAATCAAAAATCCTTTTTGTAATTATGAAAACCACACACACTCTCTCTCTCTTTCTCTCTCTCTCTTTCTCTCTCTCTCTCTCTCTCTCTTTCTCAAAGGTTATTTAAACGTGTAAAAATTTTTTTGCTCAAATCTCTCATCCTTGTTTTGTTTTTGTTTGTCTTTACGTCATCGAAACGCGTTATCACATTTAAAATAATTTTTCTTATCACATTTCCCCTTTTAATTTTTCGCGCGTTTAAATATGTATATAAATTATTTAGCTCCCGTATAATAATAATAATAATAATAATGATAATGTTTTTGCCAAAAAATAAATGCAAACAAATAAATTTTTTTTTATGTCATAGACAAAAAGAGAAAATGGTGGAATGGTTGAAGGAGGTATAAATAAAAAAACAGGTTTACAAACATTGTTGGTAGAAAAAACGCTAAAGAAAACAAAGTTATAATGATGATGATGATAATGATAACAAAGACGCGACAAAGTGAAATGTGACACACAAAAAAAAAAAAGCAGAAGAAATGAAAATCGTTAAAATCGATTTTTGTTGTGTGTATGTGTGATGATAAATATATGTAATTAATTAACTTTTGAAGATTATCATAACTTTTATATACCAAAAACATTAAAAAAAAAAAAACGAATTAATAATAATGATGATAATAATAATAATGATAAAAAAGAGAAAACAAACATTTTTTTTTTCGGTTCAAAGAATCACTAGAAGTAACAATTATTTTCGCACGGTTTTATTTTATTTTTTTGTGACTTTCTGTTTTTTTCTTTTCTTTTCTTTTCTTTTACAGGTTTTTAAATATTT